TATCAGGAGGAGGGTGGTGGAGCACCTGGAACGAAACACGATTATGAACAACAACCAGCACAAATTCAAGGAAGGCAAATCCTGTGTCACAAACCTTCTGAAGTTTTATGACAAGGCAACAGAAGTAAGAAACGAGAGAGAGGGGTGGGTTGATTGCATTTTCCTGGACTGCAGGACGGCCTTCAACACAGTTCCTTACAGGAGATTAGTGCAGAAGCTGGAGGATCAGGCACGTATAACAGGAAGGGCACTGCAATGGATCAGAGAATACCTGACAAGGAGGCAACAACGGGTCATGATACGTGATGAGGTATCACAGTGGGCTCCTGTGACGAGCGGGGTACCACAGGGGTCAGTCCTAGGACAAGTGCTATTTTTGATATATGTGAATGACATGGTGGAACGGATAGACTCTGAAGTGTCCCTGTTTGCAGATGATGTGAAGCTAATGAGAAGGATTAAATCGAATGAGGATCAGGCAGGACTACAAAGAGAGCAGGATAGGCTAGACACATGGTCCAGCAACTGGCTTCTCGATTTCAACCCTGCCAAATGCAAATTCATGAAGATTGGGGAAGGGCAAAGAAGACCGCAAAGAGAGTATAGGCTAGGTGGACAAAGGCTGCAAACCTCACTCAAGGAGAAAGATCTTAGGGTGACCATAACACCGAGCACGTTTCCGGAGGCACACATCAATCAAATAATGGTTGCAGCATATGGGCGCCTGGAAAACCTGAGAATAGCGTTCCGATACCTTAATAAGGAATCGTTCAATACACTGTACACTGTGTAAGTCAGGCCCATACTGGAGTATGCAACACCAATTTGGAACCCACACCTGGTCAAGCACGTCAAGAAATTAGAAAAAGTACAAAGATTTGCAACAAGGCTAGTTCTGGAGCTCAGGGGAATGTTCTATGAAGAAAAGTTGAGGGAAATCGAACTGACGAAACTGGAGGACAGGAGGGTAAGGGAAGACATGATAACAACATACAAAATAATGCGTGGAATAGACAAGGTGGACAGAGACAGGATGCTCCAGAGAGGCAAAACAGAAAAAAGGGGTCAGAATTGAAGCTGAAGACTCAGACGAATCAAAGGGATGTTAGGAAGTACTTCTTCAGTCACAGAGTCGTCAGGAAGTGGAATAGCCTAGCAAGTGATGTAGTGGAGGCAGGAACCATACATAGCTTTAAGACGAGGTATGACAAAGCTCAGGAAGCAGAGAGAGAAAGGACTTAGTAGCGATCAGTGAAGAGGCGGGGCAGGAGCTGAGTCTCGACCCCCTGCAACAACAATTAGGTGAGTGCAAACACACACACACACACACACACACACACACACACACACACACACACACACACACACACACACACGCACACATACACACACACACACACACACACACACACACACTTTTTTTTGGACTGTAAGAAAACGTTTGACACAGTCCCACACAGGAAATTAATGAAAAAGCTAGAGGATGAGGCAGGGATATCAGGGAAGGCACTGCAAAGAATTAGGGAATACCTGTCAGGAAGGCAACAGCTAGTGGGGTTCCACAGGGTCAGTCCTAGGACCGGTGCTGTCCCTGGTATTTGTGAACAACATGACGGAAGGAATAGAGGTGTCCCTGTTTGCAGATGATGTGAAGCTGATGAGAAGAGTTCAATAGGACGAGGACCAGGCAGAACTACAAAGGGATCTGGACAGCCTGCAGGTCTGGTCCAGAAACTGGCTCCTGGAGTTCAACCCAACCAAGTGCAAAGTCATGAAAATTGGGGAAGGGCAAAAAAGATAGCAAACGGAATACAGCCTAGGGGGCCAGAGACTACAAACCTCACTCAAAGAAAAGGATCTTGGGGTGTGTATAACCTGAGGCACACATCAACCAGGCGCACATCAACAGGCGCCTAGCAAACCTAAGAACAACATTTCGACATCTTAATAAGGAATCATTCAGGACCCTCTACACATTGTACATTAGGCCTACATTGAAGTATGCAGCACCAGTTTGGAACCCACACCTAGCCAAGCATGTAAAGAAACTAGAGAAAGTGCAAAGATTTGCAACAAGACTAGTCCCAGAGCTAAGGGGCATGTCCTACTAGAAAAGGTTAAGGAAAATCGACCTAATGACACTGGAGGACAGGAGAGATAGTGGGGATATGATAAAGACATAAAATACTGAGGGGATTCGACAAGGTGGATAGAGACAGGATGTTCCAGCTGAAGACTCAGATGAATCACAGGGATGTTAGGAAGTATTTCTTCAGTCACAGAGTTGTCAGGAAGTGGAATAGTCTGGGAAGTGATGTAGTGGTGGCAGGATCCATACATAGCTTTAAGAGGATGTATGATAAAGTTCATGGAGCAGGAAGAGTGGCCTACTAGCGTCCACTGAAGAGGCGGGGTCAGGAACTATGACTCGACCCCTGCAACTACAACACACACACGCATACACACACACACACACACATAACCAGAAAATGAGGCCTCGGTTGGGAAGTCGGAGACTCAGAGGACAAGAGGAAGATGGGCCTGAGAAGGAAGAGTGGTTGGAAGAGCTCTAGGAATAAATGGACCAAGTGTGGGAAAGCAAACTAGACGAGCTTACCGAAAGAATGGAGAAGAGGATGGAGGCAAAGAGGTGGGAATTGCGAGCTAAAGCTGCAGAAGCCAAGATATGGATCCTAGAAGATGAAGTAAATATGCCAACAACAAGAGGGGCCATGGCATCTGGAGCAGGTACTCCAATAGTAAACGAGGCGTCCAAAGGAAAGAAACGAGACAAAACTTGCAGTGAGGCCCTAACAGGTCGCCAGGAGAGGTCGAGGAACGAAGAGGGTACACTGTTGGGCACAGGGACAGCAGTATGTGAGAGGAGAACAGGTGTATGAGAGGTGAAGGAGACCGGCCCCATGCAGAGGCACTTCCAGGCCACCATGAGGTACAGGAAATAATAAAGGAGGTGATGGCTATGTATAAGTGGGACCCAGAGATGCATAGGGAAAAGCAGTGAGAGAAGGAGAGGGAGAGGTCAATCTTCATTCCCAGGCTTCAGGAGAGTGAAGGGAAAACGTATAGTGAAAGATGGCAATAAAAAAAGACAAGAGATTGAAAAAAATTATGGCACTGGAGAGGAGGACATGTCTGAGTTAATAAATTTTCAGAGAATAGGGGAGTTTCTCGAAGGAGAGAAATCGGCTAATCAAACTGATTTTCAAGACAGAAACGGCTAATGGAATCAACAACATACCGGAGGGGGCTCCTAGACTTCGACAGAATGAGGACAGAATGACAACAGCTGAGGGAGAAGACACAGAGACGAAAGAGCCAAGAAAGAGAGACAAAACTAAGTCAGAGGAGAACAACCAGAGTCGGGCGGAGTAGAGCACACAAACACCCTCAGAACCCTGCAGCCAAACACACTCTTCCAACACAAACCACACCCCACACTCAGAGCCCTAACCCCACAATATGTAGTAGACTCCCATAGCACCCTGCCAGGACCCTCACCCCCACCCCCAAAACCCCCCAGAATACAGTGTTGGAGAGGAAACTGAAAGTATGATACACCAACACTGATGGTATACTGTATAAGTGGGAGGAGTAGCACGAAAGAATCACAGAAGCATTACCAAACATCATACCCCTCACAGAACCCATGCTCTCAGGAATGATAACAAATGCCATCGTAAGACACAGGTAAGACACAGGAAACAGGGAAGGGAGGGGCGTGGAGAAGTAGCACTGCTCATCAAAAACCAATGGGATTTTGAGGGGTTTGAGAGAGGAGGCAGAGGAGAAGCTAGGGACTACATAATAGGAACACTTCAAACTGGAGGCTCCAAGTTGGTGATTGCAGGAAGCCATGACAAGAATATGATGAGTGTAACAGAGAGATGGTTGACACACTGGCTGAAGTTGCCAAAAGGGCCCATTTGGGCAGGTCAGAGCTATTGGTCGAAGGTGACATGAGTCACAAAGAAAACGACTGGGAAAACCTGGAGTCACATGGGAGCCCAGAAACGAGTAGAGCTAAGATGTTGGAGGTGGCACTGGAAAAACCTCATGCATCAGCAAGTTAGGGGCACTTCCAGAGAAAGAGGAGAGGATGAACCAGCAAGACTGGACCTAGTATTCACCTTGAGCAGTGCAGATATTGAGGACATCACATATGAAAGGCCCCTCGGAGCTAGTGATCACGTGGTTCTGAGCTTCTAATGCATAATATAGCTATACTTGAGAGAGAAGCAGGAAGGACGGGACGAATGAAGCCAAACTACAAGAGAGGGAATTACACAGGCATGAAAAAAATTCCTGCACGAGGTTCAGTGGGACAGTAAACTAGCAGAGAAATCAGCAAATGAGATACTGGAATATGTGACAACAATATACAAGGAAGCGGAAGAGAGGGTTGTACCCAAGGGCGACAGACACAATGAGAAGGCCAGGAGGAGACTTTGGTTCACCCAAAGGTGTGGGGCCAAAACAAACCTAAGTTGCCCGAAATGCTCTTCATAACCAGGGGCTTTCTATATAGTATGTCACTGATGTCAGCTAGGACTGTACAAGTCGCTTCATGTACAAGTAGAAATTATTATTATTATTATTATTATTATTATTATTATTATTATTATTATTATTATTATTATTATTATTAAGACCTATCTGAAAGGTTATCAGATATGCATCGCTAACCATTAATATACTAATAAATCTCAATGTATGGGAAGGTAAGCTGCTGAGTTTTGCTTAGCTTATTGATACATTTATCCTATTTAATTTACGTTCTTTACGGTAAAATATATTTTATTACTTTAGACTAACCCATTTCTGTAGATAATAAGTCTTATATTTTTCTGTCGCTTGAATATTAGATACAAAACTTTTGAGTAAATCAGTCAAACGTAGCTAGTGTTGCAATAAATGTCACTGAGCATGTGATATTTAACAATTTTTACAAAAGACAGAAATTAATTAGAAAACTGTTTCAGGAGGTGATAGACAAATAACATCAAACTCGTCAGCATCATATAGCGAGTCTAAGTACCGGAACGGCCCGATCTACGACGACGTGGTGGTGACAAATCTGCAGGAAGAAAGAAATACTCTACCATATGAACAGATTTACGATGATCTGAGTTTGGGGAAACTACAAGAAGGAAGAAATTCGTACTCGTACTACGAGAGTGTGAGCTTCGAAAAGTAATAGGGGGGTAGAGAGTCGTATCGTAATAGTGAAATCAGCGTTTACGGCTCTGTCAGGGAATCCTGTTAGAGGGCTACACACTGGCTGCAAGACGATATCTCTAGAGTCTACCACAAGCATAATCGCTCTTGTAGGATTAGTCTAAAATTGATTTGAGTGATACACTGAGCAGCTAAAGTCATCTCACTCTATACATTTTACAGCGTATCTTGTTTCATTATAAGACACTACGTATTTCTAAGACTCGATATAGATAGTCCCAAGATTTGTGTTGTGACCAGATAGTTTATGTTATCTTTTAACATACATAATATACTCAAGTGTAAATAATATTCACATTTGGCCTGTTAACTGATTCACTTGCATTGATCTCATTATACTATTTATACTAATTTTCTATTTACCTTCCAATTCATGAATAACTCTTCATATGTAAGTCAAACATTGCATATATCATGTATATCACATATATGTCGTGCCTATAGGTAAAATTTGAGAGTTTCCTTAAATAGCAATGCTCTTCTTGTCGAATAAGGGAAGCTAAAATTTGTGTATGCAATAATTTCGCTATAATCATTCTGTACCTAACGAAACCAATATATTTAATTGTGTTTGTTTATTATTAAATTATTGTAAATTTATCTAAAATATATTTAGTTGGATTAGGCTAAATTAAAGTGCGTTTGTTATAACAGGGTTAGGTAAGTTTTCTAAGATTCTTATGGTACAAAATTATCGATTTTTTACATTAACATAAATGAAAAAAATATATATATTTTTACATGTATAAGAGAAAATTTTTGAAAGGACTTAATTTTAAATGAGCTCTTGCTAATTGACCAGATTTACTTATTCGGCACGATATATATATATATGCAATAAGATCACAGTATACAGGTGATTTCAAAATATGCAAAACAACCACTCTGAAAGAATAGAGAAATTCCAAGCGCTTTCGTGACTACTCACATTATCAAGGAACTATGAAAGTAAAGCATCCAAGGAAGCTATATAAGGGGTCTGGCCAGCACCTCACTATCAGATCCCACAACGGTTAAACACGTGACGCACGGCGACCCAACTTGGATAAGTCCTTTGCACAACTCACCCACAAACTATTCTACCCAAGAAAATTTAAAAATTATTATTTGTCCAGTGTATTATTAAATTTTTCCCAAATTCTATTAATTTTAAATGGATCTAATTTATATAAACCAAAGGAAATATTCATATTATTGTCAAAACTGCTTTTTATGAAACAAGATTCAATTATATTCCTGTCGACCATGGACTTGCTTGATACTACTTTCTCAACTTTTTGAAAATCAATTGGATGGTTAAAATCTCTTACATGAATAAATAGAGCATTGGAATCTTGTCCAGTTCTAATGCTATATTTATGTTGTTTTAATCTTAGTTCGAGATTTTTTACCAGTTTGACCGTAATAAACTTTATCGCAAATTTTACAAGGAATCTTATAGCACATCCATCAGCATTTTGGGGGAATTCTTTATCAAAATTTTTTTTTTCTGATCAAGTTTTTTTGAATACAATTTTAAAATTAAAAGTTTTAAAGAGAGAAGGCATATAAACCCCAATTTTTTCAGGGTAAGGGAAACCCCAACATTTTTTTAGTTGAAAAAGGGGTGGTTGCCCCTTTTTTTGTTTAAAAAAAATTTTTTCTGCAACTTTAAAAGTTTTACAATTCTTTTTTGGGGTTTTTTAAATCTTTCCCTATTTCAAAAATTTTGGATATTTCCTCATCATTCAACTTTCCCAATTGCCCTAAAAGTTTCTTAAAGTCTTATGATAACTTAAAACAAAAAAAATTTGCGCTTATAAAGCGACAAAATAAATGCAAAGTAATTATAAAAGAAAATGTTTACCAAAAAAAAAAAAATAATCTTTAGATATACTGAAACCTATTCTAAACTTAGGAAAAATCCCCCAGAAAACCCTTAACAGCAATTTCAATAAAACAATAAAAATTCTAAATGAAAGGCAAAGTAATTAGAAACATTTTACTTTTCCCCTAATCCCTCTTTACTTACATTAGGACTAATAAAAAAACAAAAAACCCGGGGAAACCAGCAGACCAAATTTTTAGTCCATGGGGCATTTTATAAAATTTTCCAAAAGGGTTTTTGAAATTTTTTTGGCCCATTTTGGCAAAATTTCTAACTTTAAGTTAAAAAAAAAAATAACTTGGTGATAAATTAAGCTCCTTGACTTTATTAAATGATTTTAAAAATGGTTAGTTTTGATGTTATTCCTTTTTTTAGAAGTTCCGTTGATGATTAATTAATTTTTACTGAAGAACTCGTTAAAATATGATTTACCATTTCCATTCCTACTATCATTAAACTTTTAAACTTTGCATTGTTGAGCAAAATTTGTATTTAAAGATAAGTTTTTACACTCAGAATTTGGTTTGGGAAGGGAAAACCCCCTTTCCCTTTCTTAGTAAAACCCAACTGGTTTTTTTTTAAACAAGGTTTTCTTAACACAATCCCCCCTAATAGAGCTAAATGGTTCAGATATGTTGATAAATATTTTGTGTCTTATGCCCAAAATTGTAGATATACACCATTTTTCCTTGGAAAATTAAATAGCTTAGCCCATTCTATAAACTTTACTGTTGAGTTTGAAGAAAATAACTCATTGCCTTTTCTAGATGTTTTAATTATTAAGGGTAATAATGAATTCAAATTTAAAATTTACAGAAAACCTACAAATAACTGTTCCTATGTCCACTATTATTCCTCGCATCAAGATAGTCAAACTGTCTGTTTTCTCATCAATGTTTTTGAGAGCTTTACGAATTTGTAGTCCTGAGTTCATAGATGAGGAAATATCCAAAATTATGAAATAGGTAATGATTTAAAATACCCAAGAAATGTAATTGATAAATCTTTTAAAGTTGCTAGAAACACTTTTTATAAACCAAAAAGGGACAACCAGCCTTATTCAACTAAAAATATGTTGGTTCTCCCTTACCATGAAAACTTGGTTGATATGCCTTCTCTTCTTAAGACTTTTAATATTAAAGTTGTATTTAAAAATCCTGATACAGTAAAAAAACTTTGATAAAGAATTCCCCCCAAATGCTGATGGATGTGTCTATAAGATTCCTTGTAAAATTTGCGATAAAGTTTATTACGGTCAAACTGGTAAAAATCTCGAACTAAGATTAAAAACAACATAAATATAGCATTAGAACTGGACAAGATTCCAATGCTCTATTTATTCATGTAAGAGATTTTAACCATCCAATTGATTTTCAAAAAGTTGAGAAAGTAGTATCAAGCAAGTCCATGGTCGACAGGAATATAATTGAATCTTGTTTCATAAAAAGCAGTTTTGACAATAATATGAATATTTCCTTTGGTTTATTTTAAATTAGATCCATTTACAATTAATAGAATTTGGGAAGAATTTAATAATACACTGGACAAATAATAATTTTTAAATTTTCTTGGGTAGAATAGTTTGTGGGTGAGTTGTGCAAAGGACCTATCCAAGTTGGGTCGCCGTGCGTCACGTGTTTAACCGTTGTGGGATCTGATAGTGAGGTGCTGGCCAGACCCCTTATATAGCTTCCTTGGATGCTTTACTTTCATAGTTCCTTGGTAATGTGAGTAGTCACGAAAGCGCTTGGAATTTCTTTTATTCTTTCAGAGTGGTTTTTTTGCATATATATATATATATATATATATATATATATATATATATATATTTTATATATATAATATATATATTAATATATATATAAAATATATATATATATTATTTTATAAAATATATATAATAATATATATATATATATATATATATATATATACATATATATATTTAAATATAGGATGGGGTTTCCACCTCGGGTTTGAAATTGTGGGACCCATAGCCTCGGAAAAGTGAATAAAAATGCTTCAAGGGAAATGAATATTTGGATTTCTTCCTGAAGCCGTTTGAATATTCCACTTCCCCTACCACCCCATCTTTCATATTTTTTTTTTTACCAGTAGGAAAAATTTTATTACATAATATGGTAAAAAAGATTTAAGAGATAACATTGTTGAATAAAGTGGCATAATACGGTACATTTTGTTACGTGTGTATCACCGATTATAGGGCGAAAATCTCATCCAGCCCTCAGAGCGGGAAAGCGTGTGCCAAAAATGCAGCAGGCATTACCCCTTTGAACAGCCGCACTGAGCCGCTGGAACAGAAAACTAGCTGCCCTGGGATCGCTAGTTACCCTGATGAGTCTTTTTCCCAGCTCCTTAAGGAATTTAGATGCACTGTTTCCCCATGAGCCAAGGATCTCTGAGCCTATGGGAACAAACATATATGATGGGCAAGTTCTCCATATTTTCTAGACTTTTGGGACTCCCTGAAGCTGGCAGCTGCTCCTCCTTCCTCCCTGGTGTATTGGAGATAGGTATCAGCCAAGGTAGATGTACATGTATAGACCCCCACACCACCTGCTTCCCATCTGTCCAGGCTTGAAGGGTGATACCATCTGGACTCTTCTGGCTGCCATCATATCTGCATAGCTGGGGTGGCTCTCTTACTGCTGGGCATCCAGCTGTTGTGAGGCTCGTCTTGATAACGTTATTAACCTCCTCATGTTTTGCAATCTTTCCCTCGGATTTACGGCACACAAGACCGTGGTACCCGAATCGGTCTTCTTGCTTCACTGCCACAAATACACCTGTGTTCGGGCGAGAATAGGGGGGGGCAAGCCCGAAGGGCAACACCGATGCGGATGGTCTGTGGGTCGAGGCGTGTGCCAAGGCTGGAGTTGGAAACAGCCAACAGAAAATCCTCTCCATGAGTGCTTTCACTGCCAGGAGGCGGGCTCTATCCTTCCCTGACACACTCTGAAGCATTGTTGAGGCTATATTTTACACTACTGGACCACCCCAAGTGCGTTTGTTTGTAGTTGTTGGGGAAGCAGGTCGGGTTTTTCAGAGCCCGTTAAATTATCCCAGATTCATGGCTTCCGTCAATGAACTTTTGGTCCTGGACTCCAATCTTGTCCCTAAGAGTTCGGGGAAAATCGTTTGCTACAAGCCCTCTGGATGCAATACATGGGGACAGAAAAGCAGGTAGCGCAATCTGTGATGACTTGCGGACACCAATGCCTCCTAGTCTGACGGGAAGTGTACTTCGTTCCACTGCCCGTCTTCTAGAGTAAGGTATTAAGTACTTTCGTAAAAATCTGCCTCAGATACTGTCATATTCGTGCAGTATAGGGTTATCATATAAAGGTGCACATCTTAGGAAAATATGTCAACCTGGGCAAAACTCAGCACTTTGTGAAAAGGTACAAGGCATCGTGGGTATCCAGATTGCCTGTTCGTTGTTCCATTCTCCTTAACTCTTCCAATTTCTTCCTGAGAATTGTGTCAATGGCATTGCTTCCCAGAAAGGTGCTCCTAGCAAGAACACTGTTTGTGGGGGCAATGATTGCTGCTCCTGGTAGTTTTGATCTCACTGCATTTATCACTTGTAGATTGACTGAGATGATTTCACATTTGGATGGATTCAGGATGAGACCCATTTCCTGTCCCCGTGTCATTACCTGTGTAAGATCATGTAGGAGGGACTCCTTTGTACCTGCTAGTGTGCCATCATCTAGGAACCAGTTGTTTTTCTCGCTGGTCATCTGACTGTGAAATTTTTTAACTGCTATACAGAAGAGAAATGGTGCAAGAGGATCTCCTTGTTGGACACCCTCCGATGATGTGATTTCATGCTCTCCAAGCGGCAACAAAAGGGAAAAGACCAGGGAAATGTTATTGTTCTGCTGCTAATACCACGTCTCTTTTCAGGAGATTGAATGCATTCTTGAAATCTAATTTTACCACTGCATTGTCCTCAGGCAGGTTGTTGATATACGCCCTTGTT